AGCACTTGCTTTTCTTTTGTCCCAGGGGCACCGGATGCAGGGGTCTGCTCCCAGGTTTTACTGTTCTATTTCCCTAATATCCAGCACACCATGCACTGTGTGTCTGCGCTCTGGTGCGTATGACTAGGGCTGGGTATTTAGCAGTCCTAGGCGCCCCCTCCCTCCCCGCTCCGCCTCCTTTCCTCCCGCCAGGGAGCTGGGGTTGGGGTCCTGCTGGGCCATGGCTTGTATCTTACCCCCTTCGTGAGGCGCTGTGTTCTCGCAGATGTAGATGTAACCTGGCTGTTGTACTGTGTCCACTGGTCCCTCTTTTAGGAATAGTTGTATTTGTTGTTATTTTCAAAAATTACATGGTTTTGAGAGGAGATTTCCACTGCCCTACTCATGCCGCCATCTTGGCCCCTCCCTCCAGTTAGCCTTTTATTTGGAAGTGAGTTTGGATAAAATTCTTGGGTCACATTTATTTTTCAGTATCTCAAGTATACTTTTATGGAGTTAAAACATTACTGTCAATGTCTGGTTATGATACGATTTTCTTTCCCTCATGAGTGTCTCAATGAGTGCCTTACTCTTTTTGTCTGAAGCCCATGAGATCTGTACCCCTGCCCCGGTTTCCAATAATGTGACTATAGTATTTCTGTTGTTATATAATTTACAGGTATTGGTTTTTCAGATCAGTATTCCCAAATACATGGTATGTTCACTATGTAGTGTCAAATCTTTTTTATTTTTTTTCAGTTTCAGGAGAATTAAGTTAATCTTCAAATGTTTCACCCTTTTTTATCTTAAGACATAACTGTGTTTATTCACTGAAGGATCGTCCAAGTTTAGTCTTCTCTGAAATTTAATTTTTCCAGTTTTTAGAAGCCAATTTCTGAATTTTTCTACTTATATTCATATTTTGTGTCATTTTCTTTTATGTATTGTAATTCATTTTGAAGTATTAAGTCAGTTTTCATTGGTTTCTGAGGTACATCTATCTGGTCCCTTTGTTGTCTGTAGGGGTTGTATTTGCTCCTTGTGCTTTTTCCTTACCATGTTGTTTGGGATTTGACCTGGGGTATCCTCTGTTGTCCTTTATTTTACATGAACCACTTTTTCTCTCAGAAGGGAATGGTGCTGTTCAGGGCAGCTCTTCTCCCTGTTTGTCCTCAGCCCCCCTCTGCAGTGTTGGTGGGGCGTGAGGTAGTGTGGCAGCTCACTCCGACATGGCCTGCTACCGCTCCCTCATCCACCTTTACACGGACCTTCTTTTTCTTGATCTCTGCTGTTCTTGTGCAGCTTGCTGTGGATTCTGTTCCGAGTGGTTTCTCCTCCATGTGGGGCCTTCCTGCTGAGTTTTAGAGTGTATAGCCTGCATCAACCCTTTCCATCTTCATCAGAGACTCCACCCTATTCAAGTTTCAGCTGTGTTACCCATTGGTCCTCTGAGCTTTCCTATTGAGCATGTTGATTGGCGGGGGCGGGTGGGGGCTGCTTATGGCTGTCAGATGCCCTGTTGTTTCCTTCTATTTCCCTTCCACAGGTCGTGATACCAAAGTGGTCTTGGTGCTGGTAGTGCTTTGTCCCTGAGTGTTTGCACCTGTTTGGAGAGATGGGGGTGGGGGCTTTCACAGCTGGTTTTGGTGGAGACGTTTACCATGCTTTTCCTCTGCTAATTGCTGTGTGTGTGTGTGTGTGTGTGTGTGTGTATGTGTGTGACGTGGCGTGGTGGCGGGGAATGGAAAATGGGTAGGATATAAAGAGATTAAAAACCTGTCTCACTGTCCTGCCATCTTGCCTGAATGCGCTGGGGCAGCCCCCAGTCCTTTTTAGTTTGCATGTAGTCTCATTAAATTATGACTCTGTGGCTTTATACCTTCTGAAGGTAGCCTCATGCTCACTTTATGATTAAAACAATCCATTTTGCTTTTTAGATGGATTTTTGTTTTCCCATCTTGCTTTCAATCTGTGATCACTCTGAAATTTTATTTTGTCAGGGATTTTTGTTGCAAGGGATCCAGCTTTTTTTACCTTAAAAATACCTAGCTAATTTTTCCAAAGCCAGTTATTGAATAACTGATGTTTTCTGACACTGATTTAGAATGTTCCTTCGAATTTTTGTTGAGCTCAGAAACAGATAGGTAGATATAGTTGGCTCTATTCCAGTGGTTTGCCTCTCTGGTTCTTTGGAAGATGAGCCACTATTTTAATTTACAGCAGTTTTCTGATAATACTGTAATAGGTCTAGTCTCCTCCTCTTATGTTTTTTCAAAATTCTTTAGGTGATTTTTACATGTCTGTCCTACCAAATGGGCTCAGAATAATTTTCTCAGGTTAAAAATATTCTTTTGAGGTTATGATTGGACTTAAATTCATAAATTAGTTTGGGGAAAATTGAGATTGTTGTAGTATTGAAGGATCCTATTCAAGAATAAGGTTTATCTCCTCATTTGCTTGAGTTACCTTTTTTATGTCTCTTAATAGAATTCTGTCATCTTTTTAGGTCTTGCAGTCCTTGCCAAAGTTAAATATTTTCATTTGCCATTGTGAATAGGTATTTCCTTTCATAACATGTTCTGATTGGGTATTATATATATATGAAAACTTTTGGTGAATAAAGCAAGAGCTTTCCTATGGCTACCTTACTGAATTCTAATACTGCTTTTTAAATTGATATGTTTGTGTTTACATGGACTGAACTGTTATCATATGCAAATTACACTTTTTTTCCCAGTACTTACACCTCTTCTTCAAAAAAATTTTGTCTAAATTGTATTGGCTTGTATTTCCAAAACATTGTTAACTCAACAGTTAACAACAGTGAACATCCAAAAGCATCTACTGACATCTTTCCGATAATTTTTTTTTGTCCTACTAATATATAATGAACTACATTTATAAATGTATTTCAAACAATTCATGTATTCCTGGAATTAATATCACTTAGGCTTGATAAGTAAGGCTTAATGCATTCCTGGATTCTGTTTGCTGATATATCAGGATTTTTATTATTTATGAATTTGCTTTGTCCATTTCCATTGTGTTCTAAGCATTTTTCAACTTCATCTTCAATGTCACTTCACTGACTTTCTGTATTTGATTTGAGTTGATGGTTCTAATAGGGCTTTGGTTTGGGAAGGTGGCCTGTTCAGGTGAGGTGGTCTCTTCTGTTTCAGTACTTAGTTTTATCAGATCTTTATTAATCTCATTTGATTTTCTTACCTCTTTTGATCTTGTGCTTCTTAAGAAGACACATTCTCTTGAAGCATATTGAGAGTACAGAAGTTTGTGTTCATGACTTTGGTTCTTGAGGTAGTGTTCCAAATTGTTATATTTCCACATGGTCCCTCCACGTTTCCCAGTTACACATTCATGGGAAAGGTCCCTGTTGGACCTACTTGTTTAGTGGGGAGGGGGGGTTCTAAGCCTGCCATTTGCCCAAGACTGGCCAGTGGTGAATGTGTTAGAGCTCTGTGTTTAAGCGTTCAGTTCATCCCTTAGAATGAGAAGGTTGGGTAGCAGCTGAATTTAATCTTTATTCCGATGCTCAGCTGCCTTAGGATCGGGAGGAGGGTGTGTGGAGAGGAGCTTGTTGTAGCCTTGGAGCTGCGGGAGCTGATCTTAGTCGGTGGAGGCCTCTTGTTGCAGGCTCCCCTTGGGTCAGGCTGTTCCTCACCTGCTAGGCCTCTGACCTGCCTCAGCTGACCCTTCCCCACCATTCCGAGGAGTGGAAATGGCTCCAGTTCAGGGTGCTTCCTGCCTTCTCCAAGGTAAGGTTTGGGGCATTCTTCAGAGCTCCCATTTCATACTCCATTGCTTTCATTCGGAGAGAATTGTATCACCTTTCATTGTTCTCCTTCGTTTAGTCTTGGATTTTATTGTATGGTTTGTGGTCTTCAACATTCAGGATGGGTTTGTGGCTTTCTCTATATTGTGTTAAAACTTGAGTTTCTCTATTTGTTGATTTCAGTGGGTTTTACCCAGGAAAATTAGGCAAAGTAGTACTTTCCAAGGAAAACTTCTGCCCAAGTAGGGGTGAACCAGGCAGAATCTTACTTTTGGGGTACATTGAAAAAATCAGGCAGAGGAATTCTGTGATACAGGGTGGGGCAAAAATTATGACAAAATAGCATTAATAGGAGGTTTCTAAAAAAAGGTATGAAGAGTCAGGGATAAGGTTGCCTGCTGATAGAGAGAGGAGGTGTTGGTCTGTGGAAACAGAACCACAAACAGCAGTGGAGTCCCGTCAGTGGAGGGCACTGAGTGGAGACCCCTGAACCCCAGAGTCCTCGTCTCTGAGGTGTGCTCTTACGCTGAGTTGTGTTCTTAGATTTGTTAGATGCCATCTTTCCTCTCTTGGGCCACCCTGTCTAGGTTGGTGTCTGCATCTTAATGCCAAAAGAGCCCAAGTGAACTAGATGCTTTTTATTTCACTCTAAGTAGGATTCCTAGGTCATGCAAGTATGGGACAGGGGAGGAGGTGAGTGGATAGAGGTTTTGAGAAAAATCAAGAACATAGTCATTGTGAAGAATCAAAAAACTGATAAAGAAACAGTTGCTGAGTAGCATGAGAGTCCCACTGAGGTTGGAAACTGAATTTACCTAGAAGGTGGCTAGTTGGGGGATCCAGTATTAGCTGGGGAGAGGGAGCTGAGCATAGGCTGGGTAGGGCTTCCTGTGTTCTAGCAGGGGATTAGAGGGCGGGGCTTCTGATGGGGAGAAAACTGACTGTTGTCAAGGGATCCAGAGGGCTTGTTGACATTGTCAGAGGTAGAGGAGAAGAGTAAGAGCCAGAAGGTCAGCAAGCTGCAGAAGTGGGGGACGTTTAAGATTTCTGAGGTAGAAGGGATTTGGATTGTGTCACATTCTGAATGTGATCCTGGGAAAGAGCCATTGACTTTAGTTCTGTTGTCTTTGTACCTCTCACTTATTTAGGTAATAAGTGAGGTAATAAACATTTCTTACCTTGATATTTTAAAAGGTGATTCTATAGATGCAGAGCTAAAACAAAAACCAAGTAGTAAGCAGAGTGTTTATTTTAAAATTACTTAAAAAAGGTTTACAGAGATGTGGATTTACATAACTTGGTGACATTTAAAAAATGTACAGGCTATTTCATATTATTGCACTTACTCTTTAATATATAAGGCATTTTATTTTACATAAATAAAGGATAATGTGTAATATACAAGGGGTATGGTGTCAATTAAGTCAACCATAAAATTAAGTGAGATGCATATGGGAGCATAGAAACGAAACCCAACCTACTTCAACCTTCACGGTATATCCTTGCAACTACGATATACATGTTATACACATATTTACCTTCATAGCTTATTGTGGATGAACTGACCAGTTAAAAAACCAAAACAATGAAAGTTTTAGTAGGGCAATACCATTAGTGTTCACTCAGGAAGTGTGGGAATTCATTAGACTAATTAGAAATACTAGTCATGCCTTGAACACTGAAGACAAATAAATAGCTTTCTTTGTAGGGTCAAAAACAGTTTAGCTTTGCTTCCTCCCTTAAATTCTGAGGCCAGAGAACCCTTCTGGCAAGATCTACTAGAAACAGCTGATGACTCTGTCATAGTTTATTCAGCCAGAGGTCTACCCTTGCATCAGGGACTCTCAGAAGGCCATTCCGGTGCTCCATACTGCTCTAGAGAGTCCTGTCTGTTAGCAGAGGATTGTGCATTTCTTAACAGTAGGCACAGGTGGAAGAGTGGAGGCAAAACACAGTTTTCAGTGTTGACTTCAGTCTTTCTGTCATTTAGGCAGGAAAGCAGAAACCATAAAACTGACCCCAGATACTTAAAAAACAATCTAGCATGCACCTTGCACTGACTTCCTATAGTAGCCTATCTGAAACTGTAGTGAAATGTAGAAGCTAAATTAATCAGATCTGTCTAGCTAATTCCAGAACTACATTCTCTTTTGTATAAGCTGCTAAAAATATGAGAAGTCTGGGCTCACACCAGTCAGATATTCGTTCCCATCTGAGACCTCTTTCGGCCAACTCCACAGAGGCTTACTGGGATTAGTCACTCAGAAAAATGATGCACAAAGGTAAGTAAAATGATGCTCAAGCACCTCCGTGATTAGGATGGGTATGATGGCCCCTGAGTCCTTCTGGGTCTTGAAGCCATAAACCCAAGCTGAAGGGTGTTTAAAGAAATCTCCAACGTGAAAACCTTAGTGTCATCACGCGCGCTCACTTGTGCTCCTCCGTGAGCCGGCCTGTGCCACCTGAGGATTTGGATTGTGACTACATAGTCTCCTTTACCTTGAAAGTGACTCACCCTCATTTCCAGTTTTCTTATTACATTTTGGTAAATGAAGCTAATGAAGCGCTGGAATTTAAGAACAGAAGGTACAGTATACAAGGGGAGAGAAGCATTTTGTGACAAGGAACATCACTTTGAAAGGCAGCAGCCACTATGAGGAAGCTTGTGCTTTGAAAGGAGAGCAAGCAGCTGGGATGAGTATTCACAAGTAGTGTGAGTCACAAGTCTTCTGCCAGGAAACATTTTTGGCAAAAGGAAAAATTTGCAAACAAGAACAAAGACAGCAAAACCTTCAGTAACTGCAGAGCTATGTCATTACATCCAGGTCAGGAAAATAGATCCAATTAGAAATGTTACATTTCTTAAGCTTGTTGGGAAAGGGGGAAAAATTGACCAAATAAAAAGTCCCCTGAAGGATTTTAGTTCCTCTGTTCAGATTGTAAATAAAATGCCTATGTTGATGACTCCAAGGATATGAAAAAGATACTTGATTTCTAACAATTTAAATTAGTGGATTGGAGTGCAAAAAATACAGAAATGGAAACCCAGTGACAATGATATTTTTACCTGCTCTTGTGTTGACCAGTTTTGAATTCAAGCGCTTACTCAAGACAAGTTCCAAATTACAGGCTGGGTGTTTTCATAGCTGGCACTTCCTGCTTAGTCTAAGCAGTGACGTTCATGGCTACTTAGTAGAGTCTATTGGAACTGCATTTCTGTAAAATAGCCTTACGACTTACACTTTCAGATCATGATCAGCACTTCATGGTGATCATTAACTCATCAAAGTGAACTCTGCATCCATATATTGCACATTATACTAAAAAATAAAACTTTCTGTATTTTGCTTTTTCATTTTTGGACAATTCCTGAGCTCAGCCTAACCATTTTTTTTAAGTCTCATTTTCTTTTCAGGGTAACACTGACCCTACAGGTCCTTCCACTGAATGTGCCTAAAAGCATTCTGTTGCTTACTCATGAAATTTTTATATAAAACTATCATTGTTTTAGCTGTGACATTTGTGTTGTCCCTCAGACTTTGTTAGCTCCCCGATTGCCAGGACTGGGTGTGCTGGGAGAGGTCGCAAGAAGGATGCAAAGGTCTAAATGTTTCAAAGGAAGGGGGCAAAATAAGCCTTCCAGGCCTTGGTGATCCAAGTGGAAGGTTTCCAGAACTCAGCTTCATGTATAAGTGAAAACTTGGAGATTTTTATAGTCTTTGCTTATGCCAGTGTTTCTCTGTTGTTTCAGGAACCGTCATTTAAAGAAGTCATTGGTTTGTTAAAGAAGGGAACTGAGAAAATAAGATTCTTGTTAAAAAAGGTAACAAGCACTGCTGAGTGTCACTACTAGTGCTGGTTTCATGAAGACTTCCTGTGCTTTCTAATTACTAACTGCACAGGCCCTTCTGGGACAGACTTCATAATATTCCAGGCATCGAAATGCATGAGTCCAACCAGGGGCTTCCCGTTAATGGCAAGAATTTCATCTCCAGCTTCTATGGTTCCAGCTTGTTCAGCCGCACCACCTGTGAGGATACAGAATCATGGCTTGGTATTTTTATACTATTGACTGTCCAAGGACACTAGACACTTAAATGAGAAAAATCTCTAAATGATATTCTTAGGGAAATATTTCATAAGACAGAAAACAAAGCATAAACCCATAAAAAGAAATTCAACTACATAAAATGATTCAAATCTGTAACCTCTTCCCTCCCCCCTAAAAAACATAAGCACCTGATTAGAGGAAGATATTTTCAATGTATTTAGTCAATAAGGGTTTATATCTAGACTAGATAAACAACTGCAAATCAATAAGAATACAAAGAGAAAGGAGAGCAAAGGAAAGCAATAGCTAAAATCGAAAGACCATTAAATAAGTAAAGGAAAATAGGTTCAACTTCTATTTGATAAGACTGATTGATATATCCAAGTTCTGAGAATCAGTGACGAGATTACTTGATTACTTACCTACAAAGTTTAATCGTATTTCTGCATCACAGCTTTGTGTATGTTACAGCAAGTTTATGAGCTTTGAAAAAACACAAGTTTGAGCCCTTTCCTATTTAGTGCATATAGATACCTAAAACTTGTATTGAAGAAGAAATGCACATTGGCTGTGGAGGCATTTTTATCATGGAAAAAAGGGCACTGCGAGAGAAAAATTACTAAGTATGAAAATAATTTTCTCAGAAATCTGAGTTAGATCTCTAAGCAGATGTATCTATTTCATCCTAAATTTCTGAAACTCACTGTTAATTTTTTATCTTGATACATGTGTAATTATAGTGGATTATAAACACTGAGAAAAATACAGCTGGAGGAAAAGTTCAAATCCGACCCACTCAAGGAAAAAAACATGTTATGTGGTTAATGATAGAGGCAGATACTCTCATTAGAAAAGGGATAAGCCCTCACCAACATCAGCTCTACAGTGGGAGCAGAGACTGGGTCCCAGTGTTTGTTTTCTCAAGACACTCATTTTGGAAGTACTGAAACACTGATGTTGGACATAACCAGTTACACTGGGTCAGCACATGCATCCGGTGTCCCGCTCTAGAAATATTGGCTAAAGGCCCCAGGCAGGTTTCTGAGCTACTTGATTCTAAGTTCATGGTGGGTTCCAACCAATCAAAACAGAAGGCTGTGAGTTAGTGGAAAGTGCACGGAATAGCCATTAGACTGGGCTTTGGTCTCACATCTGTGACTTCAAGTAACAAGGTTCTCTAAACCTCAGTTTTCTCATCTGCAAAATGGTGATGTTAATACTGTCTTACTACCACACTAGGTTGTTAAAAGGACTGGATGAGATGAGGTAGTTGAAGGTCCTTGATGAACCATTCAGTGTTGTGCAGACCAAAGGGTGTGCCAGCTCATTGCTGTTTTGGGTTTTTCTGTAACATGAGGCCAAAAAGAATCCTAACTGATTTGATCAGGGTATGTCTTCTGTCCATTTATTGAGGTTTTTTTCTAAGTCTTTTAGAAAGCTTTAGTGCTTTTTCCAGAAAAGGTCTTGGGTAGCTTTTGTTTCACAGAATCAGCCTCTTTACAGTTGTCACTATGGATTGGTGTTGCATTTGGTCTTTTTCTCCCCCACCCTTCAGGTTTCTATCTGAGCTGGTCTTGGTTACTGTACATAGATCCAACTTGCTTCTTGAGTTGCTATAGAGTTTTCCATTTTTATAAATGTTTTACCCATCATTCTGCTACAGATAGAAATTGGAACTGTTGCCTAGCTCCCATTTTAGCAAGCACTGCCAAATTTTTCCCCAAAGACATGAACAAATAGATACTTCTACCAGACAGCAGGAGTGCTCTCCTCTTTCCACATTCTTGCCAACACATCATGAGATTTATTTAATGACCAATCTAATAAAAAAAAAAGGATTCTTACTCATAAAGTCTGAACTTTTCCTGTATTTCTTAGCCACTGATTTAACTTCTGTTGATTTTCTATTCTTTTCCTTTATCCAATTTTTGTCTTTATTTTGTATTTTTCTTTTGAATTATAGTTCTTTATTCTGGACATTAGCTTTTTGTTGGTTGAACACATTGCAAATATCTTCTAGTCAGTCACTTAGATATTTTATATTGGCTTATGTCTTTTTTGCCACATAAAAGTTAAACGTTTTTTCTTTAATGATATGTGCTTTCCATGTTACATTTAATCCTCTTATAGTAATTTGAAATAATGGTTATATAGGACATCCTGTTGATTTTTAAATGTTGATTATGAATTCAGCAAGATTGGTGAAATACTTATATAATATTTGATTCTCAGATTTTTAAAAATCAGAACATGAACTTTGCCAATAATGACAAATTGTATCCCTATATTTCCAACCTTTATACCTCTTGGCTTATTGTGGTATTGATATTCATGGTAAAATGTTGAAAAAAAAAACCATTTTAAAATCAGCCCAAACATAGTAATGACAATGTTCTAATCTTTATCTGGATGGTTGCCACTTCACACAGGAAGTTATAAATAATTATTTACTGCTTTTTTCATTGATAAAATCCCTGGCCTTTAAGAAATCTTTAGGGACATATAACATTTAATTATTATTCAAAGATTATTTCTTTGTTTTACATTGATGGAAGAAATTGAGTATTGCTGTATTGCTTTTGGTGCTCGGTATAAAGGCACAGGAAAACAGAAAACCTGTGCCCATTAAATTTGTAAGAGTGAAGTAAAGGTAAGATAAATCTTTGGATAGAGCTAAGCCTGTGCAAACAAACTAGATTTACTAGTCTCCAAAAAGATGGAAGGGAGGGATCTACTGAATAATATTCAGAAATACTTGAATGTCTTTTCATAACAGTAAAACTCCAGGCTTGCACACAGGAGCATCTAAAGTGCTAGTTCATGGAGCATGTATGTGCTTTCTCTTCCTCCTCTATCCATTTCTTATAGAGTAGGTTTCATGGTTTTCTAGCCAGAGCTAGAGACAAAGGCCTCCAAGCTGTCCAAGAAGTTACCCAGGGCGACATTCTTACTCTGTTGGAAATCAATCTGGAGGATGCTTCTGTCTCCTGGGGCTTCTCCACTTCTGTGCCGCAAATTCCATGGGATTCCTGGGCCCGACCTCCTCAGTGGCCTCCTGGGCTGCTGCTTCCACTTCGGCTTCAGGTGTTTTTGTCTCACAGGCCTTGGACACCTCTTGGGCTGTGAGCTGCTGGCCTGCAGAGGCTGCGCTGGCCTGTGACTGATGATGGTAGCATTGTGGGTGTCTTAAAATACCTGTTTTGTGATTACTCTTGAATCATAGTTGTGCTGGGTGCGATGTTTCAGGCCGACAGATACAGATCCTCAGGTCCTCTGAAGGTGTTATTCTGTTGTCGTCTGGATTCATGCTGCCAGTCTGATTGCAGTGTCTTTGTGAGCAAGCTGTGCATTTTCTCTGTTGGCCTTGTAGATTGCTTTATGGTTCTTTATATTCTGAAATTTATTGTGATATGTCAAAGTTTGAGTTTTGATAAAATCCATCCTGTTCTGCATATGATGAGAATTTTCAGTCTGAATACTGTTGTTTTTTAATTCTAGAAATTTGAGTCATGATTTCTCCAAATATTTGCTTTCTCTCTGTTTTTTCCTTCTGGCACTCTTCAGTGTTTCCTCCTTCTCTCTCAACGTCCTTTTGTCATTTTTCTCCAGTCTCTTGTGCTTAGTTTTTATGGGTGCTTCTAGCTTGATTTTGATAAATTCTCTCTTCATTAGGATTAAATACACTTTTTAATTCTAAAGTAATTCATTAATTAAAAAATATATTTGCATTTTTACAAACAGGGTTTTGTGTCTGCTATAACATAGCTGCCTGCTCTTTTTGGTCTTGTTTCATGGATAATATTCCTGCCTATTTTTGAATGGATTCTTCTCTTTATTGATTGGGTCTGTTGGCTACCTCTCATGCAGTGGATTTCCTCACGCACTTTGTAATCTTTGAGAGCTCTGTGAGTGCTCTTACTGTCAAGCTAACGTGTGGTTTTCTACCTGCCCTCAGACCGTGATTCTGGACAATCACACACAGCAGAGGCCTGAGTCCTGCATATGCCTGTCCTTTGCCTGTGGGACCGTGATCGGGCAGCCTGTTCCTGGCTGTCCCACAAGCTATAAGGCAGAGCTGTTTTGACCCTAATCACTGGCAGAAGCCTGGTTCCAGGCACACACAAATTCAGGGGGTGCTTAGCCTCTGCTCTTGGGTGGACACTGACTCCCAGTACTCGCTGTGCATTTCCCGCCCCTGCTTGCTCCTTCAGGCTTCATTTTTCCACTTGGATCCATGGGGTTGTTTTTTAAAGTAAAGCTCTATATTGAAAACATAATTTTCTAATAATATGCTGTACCAGGAGTAGAGAGGTGGCTTCTGAATTATTATGTAATTGCAGAAATATACCACAAGGCTTCTTACTAGAGGGTCATTAAAAAAGTAACAATCCTTGGCTAAGAATTGACCTTAATGCTTGCTGACCTACTTATATTCTCTTAGATGCTCAAACTGTTAATGTGTTTTGGATGCTACACTGCAATGAGGATGGGAGAAGTAGATGTCATTGTAATAGTCTCTTCATTAACTTGAATAATTATATAATCACACTTAAAACATGTATATAATGTATATGCATACTATATAATAACTATATATACATATATATGTGTCACATATAATATACACATATATACTGATATCCTTAGGATAATTACATTGTTAATATATTTTGAAACTCAGGAACCTGAAGACATTTTTGAGGACTGTCCAAGATGATAAAAGGAATCATTCAAGTTCATAAAGAGACCTCATATCTACTATTTCAATGACATTTACCATCTTACTTACTTTTTTTTTCTTTTAATTAAGGTATGATTGATATACACTCTTATGAAGGTTTCACATGAAAAAACAATGTGTTTACTACATTTACCCATATTATCAAGTCCCCACCCATACCCCAATTCAGTCACTGTCCATCACTGTAGTAAGATGCCACAGATCCACTATGTGCCTTCTCTGTACTACACTGTTCT